CGCCAAAACCCCAAAACCCCAAAACCCCATACAGCCATTTAGACAAATAAATAGGATTTATGAAATTAAGATTAAGTTAAGAAGAATTAAATTATCTAGTAATAGATAGAAGATTCTTAGGTTTTCAAAACTTTAGATATAATATTCACTTTAATTTGGGTTCATTCTTATTTCCCAAATTCAGTCACATCAAGTTCTTCTTCGTTAATATACTTCAATACTTCAAAGTCATCTAACTTTTCTCCGCTTGTTTATCTTAACCTAATATTATTATTTTTATCTTCTTGATTTAAGTTATAGCTTTATTCGAATTATCTAATTTAAATCTCATTAATAGAATTTTCCGCATAATTAGTAATATTTTACTTCATCTGATCTTCTTTAAACTTCGGGCTTTAAAAATAATAGTAGTTAATCTAATTAGCCTGATAAGTTACGCTAACTAATTCATTTTACTTAGGTACTCTCTACTTTTCTAACTATCTGAAATCACTTCTGATGAATAATCTTTCTGGAGATTCTCTACTATTTTACTCAAATAAGTTTTATTTTCTATTTAAATTTTACTATTCTTTCAATTACTTTAAAGAGCTTTCACTGTCTGAAAATTAAAATGATCCTTAATCACTCATCAAATTTGAAAGTTTTCTACTTACTTTAATTGTTCTAGATCTTTATGGTCCCAATTACTAGTATGCAGATCTTTTTCTACTTATTTAATACACATCTTGAGTAAGATGAGCATCTTAAATTGTATTATTTTAAAATGTTGTATTGTTTAAACTAGTAACTATTTTAGTGTTTTAGGTATTAAAATTTATCCCATTAATAGATGATCTCCTGTTGTTATTTATTCTCTTAAGAAACAGTCCTTTAAGTAATCTTTAATCGATATTCTTTAATTAATCCTTGTTAAAAAGTTCCTCTATAGATGATCTAACCTTTCTTTTTATCGTACCTCTTAATTCATAACTTTTACTCTCAAAAAGTTTTAAAGTGTCTAAGTCGTTTCTATCACTATCAGTAGATGTTGATTCAGAATCTAAAATCATTCTCCTTTAGAACCTCAAAAGCATCTTCTGATTTTCATTCATAAACACTTGAACTAGTAGTTTAAGGGATCTAATTGATTTAAGCAATGTTACACAATCTAACTCATCTTGTAGCTTCTCCTATCCTTTCCCAAAAAGCGCATGCTTTTTCATTGATTTTCTCATCATTAGATATTTGTTTTTTGTACAGCAGCCCAGTCTTAATAAGTAATTAAACAGATCTGTCAAAGAATAATTGAATCTCTATCTATTCATTATCATATCTAACATAGATTCTTTTTCATTCTTATTCAACTGAAGCAAGTTAGTTTGATAATAATCAGCCTTTTTTTCATTAGCCATCTTTTCCTCCTACTTTTTCAATTTGAAAGCTCTCAACATTTTTTTCCTATTTTTGAAGTTATAAACAGTTTCCTTTTAATCTGATGGTCTTTACTGAACAATATTGTAATTTTAAGTATTTAAGCTACTCTCATCATCAATTACAAGCTAAGAATCTTCTTAAGGTTGCTTGGAATATTATTCTACTTGATAAACATTCTTCAGCAAAGAAGAAAAGAACAATTTCTCCTGGATAAACCCAACTAGAAACATTCCTATTAAATATAGAGATTCTTTGAATCCTCCAATATCACCAAGAAGGTCACTCAGTCCATATATTCTAAAAGTATCTAATTAAATTCTATAAAGTTACTATCTTGAGTATATATCATATTGCTTATCCATTCTAATATAGTATGTGCATAATATGCCATCTGTTTCAATTAAGTTATCTGAATATTCTCTAGTATTGGTCACCTAAATGATTAATCATTGTAATTTATACGGAATAAAAGTCTAGCCTTTTTTCACTAAATTGAACGATATCATCATAGAGCTCGGCTTGATTAGGTGAAATATAGATGTTGGCAGCTTTCCAGGAATCCATTTCAGGTTAAAAAAACATAGCATCATCTATAAATTTTTGAACTGGGTCTGTAAAGTTGCTGAAATCAAAATATTAATTCACAAATGCCAAATTGAATTTCTACTAATTGAAATATGTCTCAATGTCCTCTTTAGAAGAGCAGTTATTATTCTTGATCAAATAGTTACATCTTATAAGTCTTAATTCTAAGTATTTAAACTAGCTTGAATAAAAGCTCCCCTTAAGATAATAATCTTTTGAAGTAGGACAAAAATAATTCTGAATTCCATACAATTTGACTTTATCTTGATTAGGGAAATTGAAATATCTATTATCGCATTTTGTGAACTCGAGAGATTATCTTAATTTTTCGGTTGCTATAAAATTTTGATTTTATATATTTTTTCTTACAATTAGTTGATTAGTTGAAGTAAATCTCAACCTGATTCAAAGTAAAATATCCAATTGACGCCTTCATGGTCCCATTCATGCCGAAAGCAAGATCAAAACCACCTTAGCCCACATTATATTCTTCTTAATCCTGATCTAGATCTAAGAAAAATGACTTTTTGGCCAATTTATTATCACCTCTACTTTGCAATACCATAAGTTTGTAAATGAAGTATGAAAACATGGTGACTATTAATATTCCACTGATAGATGCTCCTACATGACTTTTATATGTTCTAGAAGTAATTTTTTTAAAAAATTGATAATTTATAAATTACTCCTATCCTTTGTATGTCAATTACACTGATTTTCCATAGAGATCAATATTCTTGAAGGATTTCGCAAATCTTTTACATTTAGTCTTTACTTTCTTTTGTTGCTTGACTGAAATATTAAGTCTGTATTATACCTTGAAATTTAATTGATGTCCTTCTTTTATTGAGGACTCTTGCAGAACTTCTAATATTCACGCTATCATTGTTACTGATCATTTAAATATTTGTTATCAATTTAATAATAATAATATTGCAAAGTAAAAATAAAAGAGGCATATAATTTAAATAAAGAATTTTGAAAGATTGAAATTTGTATTTTAATTGTTAACCCTTTTTATAATCTATATGGTATTGCGGGGTTTTGGGGTTTTGGGG